TGCAAGTGTGTGTACGAGGAAAGTAGATAAAGTAGCGAAACAGAAGTTACGGACTTGAGATTTTCTTACAGTCTGAGTGCCAAGGATGGGAAAATTTTTTGACATGCAACCCTAAACATTTCGTTGACCTGTGGTATGAAGTTTCGGCGATGAAGCACTCTAACTTTATGTTTTAATCGATTTATATATATTTTTTGATGGCTTAGTAATCTTATCAGGACAAGTTAAGTACTTCTCGACAATCTTCTGCAGTCTGCGAGGTCTAGTTTTCAAACTGCTCTCGAATTTTATTACTGCGTCTCGTTTTTGTGCTGTTGCACTAATAACATTTCCCCATGCTTGCTGTAAGGATTGTGGAGACGCATTAAAAATTGGAGGAAGATCTTATGACGTCTACTTTCCTTCCTTCCTTTTGTGAGATTAGCAGGAACATTTAGTTGATAATTATGCAGTTTAGTTGTGCATAGTACTCACACATCATATCCACGACTCGAGGTTTCTGCTGAATGGAATTTGTTAGATACAGGCCTAATCACATTCTCGTGCTTCGTGTTTGTAATTATTAATACGCAAATGAAAGCGTTTCATTTAAAGTTTGCAGGTATGTTAACGATGTCCATAATTTAACATGTCGAGCTAATTAGTTATTGTCATTAAAAAGGAAGCAAAATGTATTTTGCCGCGGACCTCATGTTAAATTACGTTCTACACAAAAATTACCTTTACAACATTTTTTTTCTCCCCAGCTCTGTTACCGTACAGCATTCTAGGATAACAGCGCAAGAGTATTCTCCATCACAGAAATTCCCAGATGTACCATGCGTGCCGTAGGCTGTTATTGGTGGCAGAAAATAAGGAAGTTAAATGGAGAGGTGGCCTCTAGTGACTTGATATTGGCGTTAAGTTTCATGCAGATCCGTTAGTTGCTTCAAACCTAATTGCGAGGGGCACAGACAGGATGGTACCCCAAGCCAGTCTTTGTTAAAGATTGGAAAGTACAGGGGATGGACAAAAATATGGAAACACCCAACAAAAAACACATTACCGTGACTAATATGGAGTAGGACAAACTCTGGCTTGCAGAACTGCTTGCAGTCTCCTTGGAATGGATAAATAGAGGTCCTGTATGTTTTGCAAGGGAGACTTGTACCATTCTTCCTGCAAAATATTGGCGAGGTCCGTTAACGATGATGGAGGTGGATGGCGTGCACGCAGATTGTCCTCCAAAAGAGACCAGAAAGGCACAATAATATTGATATCTGGCTATTATGGGGGCCATGGCAGACGTGACACTTCATCTTCGTGCCCAGAGAACCAGTCCTGGACGATGTGAGCTATGTGAACACATGCATTGTTGGCTCTTGGTAAATGGCATCGCCATTGGGGAACAAAGTTTGCACCATGGGATGGACCTGGTCGCCCAAAATGGTCACATAGTCGTTGGCAGTGAAGTGGCCTGCAGGGTAATGATGGGTCCGACAGAATACCACAACATGGCTGCTCATACCATGATTGAACCCCCGCAATGTTTCACTTTTGGCAGCAAACAATCTGGATCGTGAGCTTGGGATGGCGTTCTTCAGACGTAAACTCGGCCAGAAGTCAGAAACAGTGTGAAGGTGGACTCATCCGACCAAATGACCGTCTTCCATTGCTCCATAATCCAGGTTTTATGACTTCGGCACCACACTCTCCTCTTAGTGCCATTTTGATCACTGATGAGTGGCTTTTGAATTGCAGCTCGTCCAGAAATACCCTGCTCGTGGAGTTCCCTTCGTACTGTTTTGGTGCTGACAGGGTTTGTGAGCGTGACATTCAGTTCAGCAGTCACTTTTGCAGCTGTAGTCTTCATATTTTTCGTCACAATCCTACGCAATGTCCGTCTGTCTCGATCACACAACACACATTTCCGTCCACCCTGGTATTAATACGACATCGTCACCTACAAACGTCGCTAAAATAAACACTTCAATTCAGGCATACATTTCACGAGGTGTTTCCATATTTTTGTCCATCCCCTGTACCAACAAGTGGTTGAGAGAAGTCTTCTGAGGTTCAGCTCTCATCTTCGTTTGGATGAGCTGAGAATGCAATGAAAAGCTGAAGGGAATAGACTGCTTGGAACACCTAAGCATGGTTACTAGGGCAATATAAATGTAGGTCTTAGAAAGGGACTGTGAAGAGTGTGGGCCGAAATAGTCCTATTCTGGATGTAGTTTGCAGGAAGCAGGAACTTTCTTGAGCGAGTATTATCTTCGCAAGAACGACTCTGTTCCACGGATTTAATTATTATAACCTTTAATTCTTGTATGAGAAGGAACCAAGACAGTGTTCAAACCACTTTCTCATTTATTTGAGAACTTCCTTTCCGACTGTGTTGCGCCTTTCGTGTAGTTTGCCAAACTGATTTCTGAGTCAGATGGTTTGCCGACATGTAAGGGGCTATTCGTTTGCTTTATAAGAATTAGGTTTCCATCTCATCTTCGTATATCTGTCTTTAGTGCAATGAGCAGCAAAATGTTGTTCAGCCAAGACATGCTACACAGAATTACTGGGTTTTTGGACTTTTTCCATCGTCCGGCATTCCAGGTAATAGAGGACACGACGTTTCGGAAACTGGATCTGTTTCCGTCGTCAGGTGAGAAAGGAACACATCTACTCAGTTGGGCCTCTTAGAAAGAGCTAATCTCGATCTTCCTTTCTCACTGAAGACGGAAACAGATCCAGTTTCCGAAACGTCGTGTCCTCTATTACCTAGAATTCCGGACGATGGGAAAATACCAAAAACCCAGTAATTCTGTGTGTCATCCACCATCGTAAGAACCCTTTAGAATCTACAAGACATACTATTTGAAACAGACGACACCGAGATGTGCCTTAAAGTGTGTGCGGTTGGTAATGGAACCTGGTTAGTACGTTTACTGATATAGTAGACTTATGACATTTTATGGCCGAAGCGCTGTTTACTACAAGGTCCATGCTTACAATTCCCCGTGACCAACATTGGACGTTGTTTTACTTGTGGCATCCCACATTGGGACCTTTGTCGTTACTACGGCATAAACGAACTTGCATCTTTAACCCGTTAAGTACTCTTCATTCCTACAAAATGCTTTACAGAAAGTAATACACTTCGACTTTTTTAAAGCCCAGTAACGGGATTTTCATTATATGATGCTGCAGTGCCACGTTTGTCTGATTGCCCGATAATCCCGGCTCAGTAGCCGCTTTCCAAGCACGTTCGCAGCGTAATAAATTGAAGATTACGTATAATGATTTATTCACACTAAGGTCTGTGGACTCTTAGTGTCTAACAAAAAGTCAGTATTTACTAATCATACTTTCATTCAGTGTTATACAGGATGGGCCGCAGAAACTTCGCTTTTTTGAAGGCGAATAAAAGAAAAAATATTGCTGATAGACAAAATTTATGTTTAGCTAATGAAAGAACATACTTTAAAGTTTTAAATCATGTAGTTTTAAACAAAATATCTTGAAGGTGGTGGCCACCGTTCTCTGTGCACTGATGCAACCGTTTTCTGAAATTCCCCTCTGCACGTTCCAACATGTGTACCGGAATTTGGGCTACTTCCTGCCGAATAACATTCTTCAGCTGAAGCAGTTTTTGGGGCGATGTTTAAAAACCTCTGCCTTGAGGTATCCCCATAAAAAGTCACAGGGCGTTAGATCAGGTGAGTGCGCTGCCCACGGGATGTCACCTCGAAGCGAGATGAGCCGTCCGGGGAACTTTGCCCTCAAAACTGTCATCGAAGCTCGGGCTGTGTGGGCCGTGGCCCCATCCTGTTGGAACCAGACATTTCCTAGATGCATTTCTTCAAGAGATGGTTCGAAAAAGTTTTTAATCATGTCCACATACCGCTGTGAATTGCCAGTAACTGCATGATTGTCTTCTTCAAAAAAAAAAAAATAAGGACTAATAACTCCAACTCTCGACAACGCACACCATACTGTCACCTTATCACTGTGAAGTTGCCTCTCATGGAGCTCTCTCGGATTGATACCACTCCAATAGCGCATATTCTGCTTGTTGACATATCCGGATAGGTGAAAATGTGCCTTATCACTAAAGAAAACAAGCGCGTCGGGGGGTTAAGTTTCCAATAACGTTTCGCACGCCGTTATTCGGTTCTGGAAATCACGTGGTGACAATTCTTGCACAACAACCATCTTGTAGGAATGGAAATGAAGATGTTCGTGAAGAATTTGGCACATTGAACGATTGGATATGTCTAGGGCGACTGCATGTTTGCGAGCGGAGCGTCTTGGAGATCTCAAAATCAACTGTCGAACTGCCTCCACATTTTCTGGCGTCGTAACGGTCCGTAGTCGTCCTGATGACTTTTCACCACACTCACGGTTGTCCTAGAGTTCTCTACCCACAAAACAATCGATTTCCGGCCGGGAACCGGACCTCTGGGCCTAATTCCGAAGTGAATACGGAACGCTCGCTGCACCGCTACGTAGGAATGGTTGTTCGAAAAATAGGCTTCGATAGCAAACGGACGCTGCTCACTCGTCCGCCTCATGTTTCCTACTGAGGGGTATTAGACAGAAACTTCCGCGACTGCTGCGTTCGCCGTGCCTATCCCCACTTTTCTGCGACCTTCCCTCCCTTCACAATGCGTCTTCACAAAAAGGAAGTTCTCCGCCCCACCCTGTATAATATGCGCTATTGAAAGCAGTATTAAATAAACTAAGAATAAATAAACAAATTATGAATACAACTGTACATACATTTGTTTGTTGGTTTCAAATTTGGGATATCAAAAATTTGAAGCAGGAACGATGATTGTGACACCACAGTGTTAAGTGAAGCTCATGTGATTGGTTATTTACAAACTTTAATTTACTAAAACATCCCGAGCTGTAGTGCTGAGGGGAAAGAAGGAATTCACTAAAAACCTTCTACCATCTTCATCAGTATGTGGTTTGTAGGTAGCCAGAAATCCTGGCTTAATCAATTATCTTATTTGTTTTAGCTACAAGACTGAATGAGTACATCCGGCATTATGAAGAGCTGACATATGACCATGATGATGTGCACCGAAGTCACATTCGAGCACGGCGTTCTGTCACACGAGACAACGCCGTTCACTTACGGTTCACTTCTCATGGTCGCTCATTCAATATTCGTCTGAAGAGGGACTTATCTACATTCAGCAATAATTTGGTTGTGGTTGGACCATCTGGCCAGAAGGAGGATCTCGAGACATCGCATATATATCATGGTCACATAATTGGTAAGTTCAGCTTCTGAACCGACTCACGTCCTTGTTTCACATATGTGAAAATTTTGGGCAATGTTTCGACTCTGCTTTCAGGCATAAGTGAATACAGTGACAATGTGGCAATATTAATAATAAGGAATTTTGTTGTTGGCTGAAAGGCTGTGAAGTATGCACAGTTTTAATCTGCAGAGGAATTTATCATAGAAATTAACAAAAGAACAAGGAATGAGGAATGTAGGTAGTTGCATTGATCAACAGGCCAGAGAATTTCAAATGTAAAAATGAAGAAAATTCTGTTGAACATAAATTGTACTTTTATTTTTTTTAAATAGGACCGAATTGAACTGTTGAAAATGAAGCTGACAGTTCTAGTCATAAAAGATTAATCTAAAAGTTGTCTTTCTGCTGTAACATTAAACAGTCATGTGAAAGGTAGATGCAAAATAATGCAATTGTGAAGCAATCTCCTTACTAGTGTCAGTTAAAGTTTTTGTATGTTTCTCTTTATGGTATCTATATTATCACCCAGTAGATTCACATCATCAGCATAGACCAACAGGTGATGTGTCCCATTTAATTTGAGTCCCACCTTGCTTTCTTGGACCTTCCTAGTGGCATATTCTAAAGCAAAGTTGAAAACGAGTGGCGATAAAGCATCTCCTTGTCTTAGGCCATTCTGGATAGGAAATTTATCAGACAAATGTTTAGCTGTACGGACTTTACTGTACGTTTCGTTTAAACACATTTTAATCAGCTTAACTAGTTTCATGAGTATCCCAAACTCTATCAGAATATTATACAATATTTCCTTCCTAATGGAATCATAGGCTTTCTTGAAGTCTACAAATAACTGATGTACTGTCTCATTGTACTCCTATTTTTTCTTAAATATCTGATGAATGCAAAAGATCTGATCAGTAGTTGATCTCTTATGTGAGAACCCACACTGATGATCCCCAATAATTTCATCTATGTATGAACTTAACCTTGAGAGAAGAATGTATGATAAAATTGTGTATGAAGTTGATAGCATTGATACCCCGCAATAATTACTACAGTTAGTTTTGTTGCCCTTCTTGTAAACTGGTACAATAATGGGCTCCTTCTGCTGATCAGGCATCTTATCTCTTTCCAATTCATGGAAATACAAGTGGTTCAAATATGACCAGGGCTGATTTTTTTTTTAACCATAATTTGCCAAACACTTACTTGCACATGTCAGTCTTCAACGTACTCCCCTCCGGAGTCAACACATTTTTTCCAACGTTCTGGAAGCAGCCTGATGCACATTTCAAGAAAGGCTTGTGGGTGGGTGGCGTATCCACTCCCGAACAGTCTGGATGACAGCGTCGTCCACAAACTGCATGCCTTGCAATTCTGATTTGAGCCTTCCAAACAGGTAGAAATCACTTGGGGCCAAATCGGGACTGTACGGCGGATGTGTCAGAAGGTTCTATTTCAATTTCTGGAGGGTTTCCATTGCTGTTTTGGCTGTATGGGGGCGTGCATTGTCTTGAAGGAAGGCAACCCGCTTTCCACCTGTCTTCTGCTTGGATCGGATCTTTTCCTTCACGTCTGTTGCCAGGAGGTCTGAGTCATAAGCTGCATTGACTGTTCTGGTATCTGTCAGAAAGTCTACATAGAATAACCCCCTGTGAGTCCCAGAAGAACGTTGCCATCACTCTTCCTGCCGAATGGCTCCTCCGCGCTCTCTTGGGTTTTGGAGAACTGGTATGACACCATTCGCGTGATGACTGCTGGGACTTGGGAATGAAGTGGTCACTGTAGCCTTCAAAAATGCATCACCATCTTCAGACTGCTGTAGGAGATGACTGGCAGCTTGCATGCGCACCATTTTGTTCACATCCGTCAAAGTGCGTGGTAACCACCGTGCATTCACCTTGCGATAGTGCAGGTGGTATTTCACAATGTCGTCTACATTACCAACACTGATGGACAGCATTGCTCCAAGTTCCTTGATAGTGATGCGCCTATTCTCACGAATAAGCATGTCTGCACGATCAATATTTGGCTCGGTGATTAATGTTTGCAGCCGATGATCATGCAGTTCATTCTCCACACGCTCTCTGCCCTCTCTGAAGCGCTTACACCACTCAAACACACGGGTCACTGAGAGGCACTCTTCCCCATAGTGTTGTTGCAGTCTGTGGTGAATTTCAGCAGATGGGATGTTTTCTCCAAAGAGGAATTTGATCACAGTGCGTTGTTTGACACCCCGCGGTACCTTCTGTTCGCTCATCATTCTAGCAACTCCCAGACAGGACTGAACAGGTTCTAACCCGAACAGGATGGAGGGTGGAGGTTGTGGCTTCACTCTCTCAAGGTTGCACAGCTGCTGCACAGTGCGGGTTGTTTACACACAAATCAGCCCTGGTCATATTTGAACCACCTTGTACTTGGTCTCAAAATTTGTAAGACATTGCCTGACTTATATTTACTGTGTCCCACACACTTGTCATATTCCCTTCTTTCCATATTATAATGTAGACTGATTTCAACATGTCACAAAGCTGGGTCTCTGTTGCATCCATCAATTCTACGTGTACTACCTTTTGAATAAGCTGCTCAAAAATTGCCAATATTTCTATTATAATTGTGTTTTTATTGTAATTTTGTCTTTCCTTCCTATTGTGTGGTTTATTATCATCTTATGGATTACTTTTTAATTCCTTTACAGTCATAATTTTTTTTTTCCATGTTGCCATTGTTTTGCATGTACTGTGTGTATTTCTGGTACCTGTGTTTGTTATGCTTATTTTGTTCCAGGAGAAGCAGGGAGCTATGTTTTTGGTTCTATAATTGATGGAGTATTTGAGGGAAAAATTGTATCACCACAGGGTTCTTACTATGTGGAGAAAGTTCACCATTATTTTCCAAAGGATTCTAATAAAACTTTCCACTCGGTGATATATTCCGAGGGTGACATTGAGGACCCATATGAACATTTAAGAACTGGTTAGTGATGTTTTTCTTTACATGCTTATGTGCTGACTGGAAGGTAAAAAATGTGAACTCTTTGAAATTTGCAGGAAATATCTGGCTGAGATGGTGTTTGCCTTTACTGCTGTAGCTGAAGTTCTCCATATGAATAAAAGTAAAGTTTTCATAAGATGCAAGGGCATTTATGTAAATATAAGCTGAGCCAAATATTAGATTATCTGACCCTCAATTTTAAAACATGATTTATGAAGAAACTATTTTTTGATTCTTTTAATTTGAGTTAGATTTTCCCCTATTCACTGTTTGGCATGGTTTTAAAATACAGTACATGTAATTACAGCTTCTTCTCAAAACTGTGTTTTCTTCTAACAGCATCAAATATTAAAGATGTTTGCATTGTACACGATTATAACAGGCTGGGAAAGCAGAAATTCGTCTTCCAAGTGCATTAGAAAAAAAAAACTGCAAGCTTTCAAAAATATTTCAGTAAACTTTTCTAAAATCATTTGTTGCAGAAATTATCCACTACTGTTCTCAATCATTCGTAGGTCATGTAGGTGGCTGTGGTATCAGTGATGATACTGTACAGTGGATGGATCACATTCAGAATTCCATGGAAGATGAGCCCACACCTCCAGAACCTACCCAAGAGCACACAAATTCTCAGGCATTTGTTCCACCTACACTGGAGCCCCATCCACCTCACAACAAATACAGTCGTGAAGTTAATGAGGGCAGCAGTAGTCATCATAGAAATAAGCGTGCTACTAAACCCAGGGAAGAAAATAAGAACACATGTTCACTGTTCATACAGACTGATCCTTTAATATGGAGACACATTTCAGAACAGGTAAGAAGAGAGCATGATTCTGGCATCTTATAACAGCTGTTTAGAATGCAATGAACACATTCTGTACACAGTTAAGAAACTATGAAAGCATTACAAGAATAAACAGATTTTAGTGTATCTTTAAAACTTTTCTTCTCCACATAACCTTGTGTGGATATCAGTGTTTATTAGATCAGGCTAGGAACATAAATGTGGAACAGCAAGATCCCTGGAGACGATTTTTAATCCACAATAATTATGGGAGTTGAGCTTGACAAAGTTTTGTAATGTTGTATCTGAATTAATGTGCATGCCTACAGAAGTTATAACACATGATCATAAAACTTGAATTCCTAATGTTAACCACCTTGTGATACATATTTTTTTTTAAATATATTTGTGTAACACACATTGAGAATTCAGTTGGAAGTCTTACTTGTTATATGATCTTTTGTGGTATTCCTATTCAGTTCTTCATGTCACTGAATGATGTGTCAGAACCAGTGTGTAACACCATCTTCTATGAGTAACACACACACATACAGTCAGTTGTAAACCATCTTTTTTATATAGTATACTACACTTCACATATTCACATCCAGATATTAGCAGTACTATCAGAATAGATGTGATATACTAAAACTGCATGTTTGTTACCTGCTAACTTACATTCATGTAACATGTTAACATTTGACAGTTTGTAACTTACATTCTTGCAGCATGTTAACACTTGACAGCTTGGTGCTATTGTAACCTGAAATTTCATATCGATAGCGGTATATCTGAGACTTACAAAGCATGTTTATTGTTGTTTATACAGGGTGTTTCACGACTTTAGGGCATAAGTGCAGGAGGTGATTTCCTAGGTCTTTGTGATCAAAAAAGTTCATACAAACATGTGTCCGATTTTGGATGGATATGGAGTTATGACCATTTTAAACTCAGAATAGAAGGTAACAAATACTGACAATAAATGGAACGAAATAATAAACCGGCATAATACATGATACATTTAAAGTATGAATGTAAAGTTAACTTCGTGAAATTACCTTTAATTTGAATTGATTGGTGCTTAAAGCTGATTTTCGAATATGCCACCACTGGCCGCAACACAGGCTGCCACTCGGTTGTGAACCGCGCGGGTAGCACATAGCAGCTTCAGCTGGCTGTTTCTTATGTGGTCAGCGGCGTCCAGAATGCGACTGAGTAAAGCATCTCGCCTTGCCACCTTCACATTGTAAACCAGTTCTTTCATCCATCCCCACGCACAATAATCCAGTGGGTTTAAGTCTGGAGACCTGGCTAGCAATTCTTTGCGTACTCGTACATGGACTGTGGTGTACCATATGAACAATGCCTTCTTCAATGTTGCCTTCAATAACACCACACTCGGCTGCAATACGAACGCCGGGAAGTCTACCGGTATCTCGCAATGACTGGTAAACTCCAGTAAGCCGTCTCCGGTTTGGTATTCTACGATTTGGAAACCATTGCTGATATTCAGCTACGGCAAGAACTGAGTTACTGTCACAAAACCCGTACACGTAAATCATATCTGCATACTCCTCAAATGAAAATGTAAATGGCATCATGTATGTAACAGGCGCACCTAGAAGAGAATTGTTCTGAACACCAGTAGCCGCCACACTAGCCGTGGCCAGACATACCAGACCACCACGCCTTAGGTACCTCTCAAATGTTGAGATAACATGAACGCTCTGTCTGTAGCTGGCTAAAAGTAGCGACCCACCAGATGATAGATGCGGTTCACACAAGGGCGTGTACGGGAATGAAAAAACGGTCATAACTCTGTAACTGTCCAAAATCAGACACATGTTTATATGAACTTTTTTGATCACGAAGTTCTAGGAAATCACCTCCTGCAGTTATGCCCTAAAGTCGCGAAAGACCCTGTATTCATTCATTCATTCATCAGTAATCTGTCAAGAGGACAGGTCCACAGTCTCTTCCAAAACAGTTCTCCACTTAATGCGATCACAAGCTTTCTTCTTCAAATAAAAATATCCTCTTATGTCCCCAAGGTCATATACTATATATATATATATAAGGGTGGGGGGAGAGAGAGAAAAGAAATGTAATGCCAAATTAAACTTACATAAGCATTTGATTCAAGCACTGTTGTAAATTAAGATTAGGAATATGTATATATTTTATATATTATTTATTATGATAAAGATAACCAAACAAAGTTTATAGATTTTAGAACCTCTATGCCGATATTTTTCAACTCTTTTTCTGCTAATTACTTACATGAGATAAATGTTACTTCCAGTATTCTCATGTCCTTGTTTCATGGATAAAGCAGTTGTGTAGAAACAAGAGGAAAACATTTTCCAAGTAAATTCTTCATGATTTTGCATACCCCATTGATTTTGAGGTTGCAGTTCAGGTATAACACAGTATAGAAGCAGATATTACTCTTCTTTGTATTTTAAATGGAGACCTTCAGTTTCCCCTGAAGTGACAAATTTAGTTTTCATTTTTAGTGAAGTGATTGTTTATGTACTTGAAGGTGAACAATGATCCGGAGAAGACACGGGAAGAAATCTTATCACTGATAGCTCATCACGTTACTGCTGTCAACTATATATATCGGGACACAAAGTTTGATGGCCGTGTTGAACACCGCAACATTAAGTTTGAAGTTCAGAGGATAAAGGTACCCCCATCTTCAAAATAACAGACATTTCATAGTGATCATCTTAGTGCAGAGCTATTTAAGTTGAATTAAAGATGAATGGTTGAATTCCCGTCTTATCAAGTAAAAGCATATAAAGATATAGGTCTCAGCCAAATACAGCTTTTATAGTAAATTAACTAGAAGTAATTAAATGGCTGTTTTGGTGATTTTAATTCATCATTATCAGACCTCTGTATTTCAAATGTTGAGAGAAACTTTGTAGATGCCATTTTTGCCAACATATGATACATGGGCAGTTGTTAAAAATATAAATATTGTGACAGATGTGGGGAAGTTTTATGAAAAAAAAACTCCATTGATGCCACCTCGTGTGAAAACAACAAACAACAGCAGAAGTTATAGATGTATTTGAGTACGTTACTAGTAAGCAGCAGGTATCCTAAACATGGGCTGTTTAACGCTTGGGTCTTCTGTTCTGGGAGTGTTAAAATTATATTTAAATACTTTATGTGCATAATACCAGAAAAATTACATTGTTATTGAAGAGTTCGATCTTCTGGGATATAATGACATATAGTCCAACTGATGTATCTGAGGAACGTGTCATCTCCATATTCAGGGTCAAAGAGTATAAGCCAAGCAAAAAACAAGCATGAAGCAGGCATAAAGCAGAACTTGAATTAATTGCTGTTTAATGCACATTTCATCACTTGTGTTTAGATTGATGATGATTCACCATGCCGGAACCCATATCATGGGGAGCCAAACCCATTCTGCCATGAGAACATAGATGTAAGCAACTTTCTGAATCTTCACTCCTTGGGGAACCATGAGGACTTCTGCCTAGCTTATGTGTTCACATACAGAGATTTCACTGGAGGCACACTGGGCCTTGCGTGGGTTGCTTCTGCCTCAGGTGTGTGTCTCCTTCAGGCTTTAAGTAGAATTACCACAATAAATTAGGGAGCACTTAATTTAAAAAATAAATTATATCTAAGTATTAAGGAATAAGACAGCCATCATTCAAGTTACTACGTTTCTGATAACACATCTCAAACATGAACAGCAGTAAGAGGTATAAGACAATTGCCAGTGCATCATACAAAGTGTATGTAAAAGCAATTTCACAACACATTCCCAAAGCCGGAAGAACCACAGCCTATACCAGTGCCTCATGTTTTACTCAGAAGAAATGTATATTGTATAATTTTAAGACTACTTGCATATACTTTTAATGTACACATCAGCAGTCTCCTTTTATCTTGCAAGCCACTGAAGATGGCCCTTTGGGCCTGGAACATGTAAGGTGATTTCACTTATACACATTCACTTCCATCTTATATGCAACTTTAAAAATTACTCCTTTACATAAAAATATAAATTAAAAATAACCGTTAGAAATTGCTACATATTTCAGCCATATTTGGCCATCTTCAAGCAGCTCTCTGACTTTAAAATTTTCTGCACTGTATTTACAGTGTAATTAAGATGAATTATTTCTTAGGTTAAAATGTTTAATGCTTTCCATTTTTCATCATCAACCAATTAAAAGACATTGTTTGGAGAACGTCACTTGTTACATATTCATCCGGTACCTTCCTTCTGTGGCATCAGTGTTTTGCATGTTTTTTGTGTACCTCGTATAGATTTCAGTATGATGTTATTATGTGCCCCATTGGTGTTATCTTTCTACGCTGTTGGACTAGCTGAGTGTGTCACTTCTTATTATAAGGCAGTGCATAAATACATAACGACTGATGTTCTCCAACAAATGTATTTTAATGGGTGGATGACAAAATGGAAAACATTGAAATATTGTAACTTAAATAATTTATCATAATTACATTGAAAATATGGTGTAGCAGTTTTACAAGTTGCACAGTTGCCTGGAGATGGCTGAGTACAGCCAAAACATATAGCAGTTTGTAATGGTTAATTTTTAATTTTATATAAAGGAGTAACTGTGAATGAAGTTGCATTTAAGATGGAAGCGAATATGTATAAGTGATATATTAATGTAATAGGATGCTGGAATACAATTTTATGTAAGGTGATTATGTTAACTAACGTTTTTAGTAGAGCTTGTTACAATTGATGGTTGTCTTATTTCTAAACAGTATAAAGTGTAACAGTCAACATGTCTCATTTTCAGAAGAGTTATAACTATTCTGCAAGAAGGATAAATATGTAAACATTAACCGTTGTCATGTAAGTGTCAAGACAATCATAGCAATTGAAATATCTTTTATTAGCCTTTCAGGAAACAATTTTGCCTTATCCAGAGAGCTGTTTTAAGGCATTTAAATGTTGATGGTCCATTGTTGAATGTCTGGCATGGTCAGTGTGATGGGTATGAACACTGGACTTCAAATCCAGCCATGGAAACCATGATATACGTATATATCTGTATACAATAAGATTATTAAGGTGCTGCTTGAGTGTATGAAAAAACGTGTTGATTGTGGGTAGTACTAATTCTTTCTGTAGATGGATATGCTAGCAAAAGTATCAGCTGTTATCATTTTAGTGAAAAATGCTTTTTTAGAAGAGTTATTGAAACCTGTATTTTGTATTTTTCTGTATTAGGTATTATAATTGGATTGTTAAGTACATGAAGCAGAGCCTCTAGTGTTCCATAGAATAAATGTCACCAATAGGTAACAGATATGTTGGTAATATGTATTATAAAACATTTAGTGTTGCTTTTAAAAATCATTAGTGTACTTAAGTTGATGTAATATTCTCAAAGTATACTATTATAATATGGCAAAAGTGCAAAATGGCATTACACCTGTCCTCCAATATGTAGAGAAGGCAGTTGGGATAGCTGAGTCAGCGCAGTGACTGGCTACCAACTGGATGACAGGTTCAGTTCCTGGAATTTTACCTTTGCCATTGCATCCAGACCAGCTCTGGGGCCCATCCAGCCTCCTCTATAGTAATTGGTGGGAGTTGTTTCAGAATTACAAGTTTACAATGATAAATTGGCTTATTTAAATATTTTCAGTGGCAGACAGATCGGTAAATTGTAAGTAAATGTCACTTCTATAGATATGATATTCCTTTCAAGTGCTATTTTGTTATTTCTTTGAGGTTGATGAGTTTTCAGTGGTATGCTCGCTTGTGATTGGTTTCAGGAGCCTCGGGAGGCATATGTGAGAAGTACAAAACTTACACTGAGACAGTGGGCGGTATGTACCAGTCCACTAAGCGTAGTCTGAACACTGGTATTATCACATTTGTAAACTACAACAGTCGTGTCCCACCAAAGGTGTCACAGTTAACACTGGCACATGAAATAGGCCACAATTTCGGATCACCGGTATGTCAGTTGTGATTAGTATAGCATTTATATGATTAGGACAGTGCACATTGTCAGTAGCATACTTCAATACAAAAAGAATTTACATAATTTTGTTTTTATTATTGTTGTTATTATTTCTTATAGAACAGAGTGCATGGCTTATTCAAAGGCATGGGGATTTGAGAACATGCAATATATATGACTGTATGATTTGCAGCTTTTGAGACATATTTTCATCACTTTTTATTTTAGTGAAGTTTTGTTTTGAGGTTATACAACACAGTCCATGAGAGAAGAGCATAAGTTATAGTATGTGAAAAGAAGTTACCCAGGAAAATATTTAAGCTCACAAGAAGATATGAAGTTGTAAAGTGAAGAACACTTATCACAAGAAACTCCAACTTACGTAGCTTTCCTTCTGTCACTAGTCTAAGGATGGTTATGTCAAGGAGATCATAATGGGATGGACACAGTTCTTCTGTAGTGAAAGCAAGGTGTGACCAGACCTTGGAAATCAAAGGAGGAGATAGGTGGATAATATTACAATTAATCTTAAAGATACAGGCTTTGTAAGTGGAAACTCGATTGAATGGTCTCAGAATCATTTCCAGTGGAGGGATTTTATGGTAACAGTGTATGGATGAGTTAGTTAATTTGCTTATATATATATATGAATTCCAAAGCCAACCATACTTGTTTACAAAAATATTTTGTTCCAAAAAAAACCCTTCTGCTGTTTTCATTTTTAGTGATAGTAAACTTTCATGGCTTAACCCTTCCGCAACGGATAGTATTTAAATCTTTTCCTACCGCCAAACCGACGGGGTATTTAATTATTAAACAGAAAAATGCACTTATCCATGAAAAATTTAGTAACTCTTGCAAAAATGGGTATATTGAGATAAAATTTTCACAGAAATATTCATAATGAAACGAAGAACAAACCTATATATATATTGTTTAATATAATTATGATAAATAATATTTTTTTACTCACTC